TGTTTTTTTATATCCCACCTTTCTACCAATATAGGGATTCAAGGCAGCTACCAACCAATTTAAATCAGTACAAATTAAAACAATACAAATGCACTGTTGTCATCAAGTCATCTCTGGCTTATGTCAACTCTAAGGTGACCCTATCAAAGCATTTTCATGGCAAGATTTGTTCAGAGGGGGTTTGCCATTCTCTCTGAGGCTGAGAGAATATGGCTTGCAGTTTCCATGACTGAGCAGGGATTCGAACCTTGGCCTCCAGATACATTATTCAGCACTTAGACCACTACACCACTCTGGCTCCTACATTACAAAGTATAAATATACCGTTTAAAAAAACAATTACATTCTTTAAAGTTAAAAATATTACACATTAAAAATATTAAACTGTATTAAAACTAAATATACAAATCTTGACATCTAATTTCGCACCACATTTAAAAGCCCAATCCTCGTCACTTTGAAAAAGTCTGACAGCTCAAAAATGTTACCTGACACTGGAAGGAGAGCAGGGATGGGATCATCCTGGCCTCTCTAGGGAGGGTGTTCCAGAGCCTGGGAGCAACCACCAAGAAGGCCCTCTCCTTTGTTCCCATCAAAAAAGCCTGAGAGGGTAGTGGAAAGGAAAGAAGGGCCTCTCCATATAATCTTAGTGCTCTAATGGGCTCATAAAGGGAGATACAGTCTTTCAAATAACTTGGACCCAATCTGTATATTTTAAAATGTTTAAAATTGTTGTTAACTATATTGAAGTATTTCAGAATAAAGTAGAATCAAATACTTGAAAGAAGTAAATAAAATCAAGTTTGCATGCCAGTGTTGATAAATGACATGCAGTGTCTGTGAGGACATGGAAGTGTCAACCGGTACTCTACATGCCTCACTGGTTGTAGTGCAGTTTCAACTTTTAGAAGCTTTCAACTTTTAGCTTTCAACTTTTAGAAGCCATTGTGTCCAAATTACCTGAACATCTTCAGTGTATCAGGCAGTGCACACACTGAGATTATCTCTTAATGAGACCCAGTGTGATGTAGTGGTTAGAGTATGTATGTTGTGTGCCTTCATGTCATTTTTTGACTTATGGTGACCCTAAGACAAACCCATCATGAGATTTTCTTGGCAAGATTTGTTCAGAGGAGGTTTGCTACTGCCTTCCCCTGAGGCTGAGAGCATGTGACTTGCCCAAGATCACACAGTAGGTTTCATGGCTGAGTGGGAATCGAATCCTGGTCTCCAGAGTCACAGTCTGATACTCAAACCATATGACATGTTGGCTCTCTACACAATGCTGGTTTTCAATATTCAGGTCTTAACTAAGCCATGAAACACACTTGGTGGCCTAGAACCAGTGACTCTCTCCTAGCACGATTTACTACACAAGGCTGGTATGGGGTTAAAGCACAGAGGTGAAGAGCCATGAGCTTTCATCTTGGAGGAAAGATATAAATGCAGTGGCACCACTAGGGGATGTGGACCACACCAGATGACACCCTAAGGGGGGGGGTGACACCATTGCTCCTCAAACACTTATCTTTGGGCAGAAATGGGCTGTGGCATTCATTTACTTCCCTTTAAAAGGCTTTAATAGATGGTGGGAGTGGGGTGTAGCTCAGTGGGAGGAGAAAGGAGAGGCCACTCAAAAAATTAAAATTAAAATTTCAAATGTCAAAATTTTAAATTAATTTTATTTAAAAACATCACAATTTAATCAAATATTCAGTATGTATATGTAAATACATTTAGGTTGTGCTTATGATATTGCAATTTAAAGGTATAATTTTAATTTTGCTAGTTTTTTATGCCACAACTATTAGCATTACATTCAGTGGTATATGGGAATTATGATTTATGAGTAACATTAGTGCAAAAAAGTATTACTAAGGATTCTGTATGGTGTGACATGGGAGGAGATCAGTGGAGGGATGACACCATGAGTTACCAACTCTAGCGATGCCACTGTATAAATGTAACTAATGCATTATAAATCCATGAAAGTGCTTACTTCTGCTAACTAGGTTGGCAGGAGCAAGGGAAAGGAAATGGTCAGCAATGGCCTCATGTCTGTTGTATAAACTGACTCTCAAGTTGAATAAACCTCTTTTGTTGTGAGTTTTAAGAGAACATGAAAAATATATCAGTGGTTTTCTCTTTAACTGGTTTATTTGGTTGCTGGTATAAGATTTGAATCTTTCAGTTTTTATCTGCTTTTTAAAATAATTTCTTGATACAACTTCCAACAAAGATGGAGGTTTAAAGTATCGAAGCCTGAGCAAGGTGGACTAAGAGCTCTGGGCTTTGCATGGGTGATTGAAGTCATGACTTCTTTCTGTTTGTTCAGCCTGTGTCAGGAAGACTCAGACCTACATGGGGCGCTCCTAAGATCCTGGAAGCCAACAGCCCAAGCCAGCACCTTATGGTCCCTGGCCTTAGGCAGAAAAACCTGAAGCAGTAACAGTATTTAGAAGATAAGGATTGGATGTAGTACCAGGGATGTAACTTTGGCACTTGCGTGACAATAGATACTTTTCAATTTGTAAAATGCAAGGATGTGGACAGGATTCTTGTAGAGGTTGGAGCCACCGTGTGTGAGAGCCTTGTCCTTCCTAGATTATTTTAAAAGCCAGAGTAGGACTGAATGAGTGGGTAGAGGGAATGGTCAATGCCTCACTGAAACAACGCAGTGTTCCAGCATGCCTAAAGGAGATAGTTATAAAGCCATTGCTGAAAACAGAGGTAGTTATAAAACCATTGCTAAAAATGGCCTCCCTGGATCCTAGTACATTGGATAACTGTCAGCCAATTTCCACATTTTGGGTGCATTTTTGGATTCAACCCTGAGCCAAGAAGCTCAGTATGGGAAGTTAAGAGTACATTTGCACAGTTGAGGTTTGTGCCCAAGTATGCCTGTTTCTAGAGATGCTGAATCTGGCAATCTGGCATGGTGATACATGCCCTAGGGCCTTTACAGACTGCCAGAAATAATGCAGCTTGAGACCACTTTCACTGTCCTGGCTCAATGCTAGGGAATCATGGGAATTGTAGTTTGTTTTTTTCTGAGACATTGAGCCTTCTCTGTCAAGAGAGCTCTGGTGCCACAATAAAGTACAGTTCCCATGATTCCCTAGCACTGAGCCAGGGCATGCCGCCATCATGCCATGCACCCAACCACACAGTGTGCATCATCAGTGCGCCCCATTGGTGCATCATGCACACTCTCTGTACTAAAGGGGCACAAAACAGCTGCCGTCGTGGCTCTAAGGGCAGTGGCGCTTTTTTGCCGCCCTAAAAAGCAGCAGCATTTGCCCCCTCTTTTTGGAATGGCAAAAAGGAGGATTGGAGCCACGGCATGTGGTTGCCATGGCACCGATCCAGCACTCCCAGGGGGGGCACAGAGCCGCCCCTTACAGGCCGTCTACATCAGCCCTAAGAGACCACTTCCATAGGATCTGAGAAATAAAATGAAATCTAAACCAAGAGTGGTTTATGATTAACATATGCTCTATGATTAACAGAGGAATACATTAAGCAAAGCAGCAGCTTCATTTATATACTGCTTCATATTGCGCTATGGGATGTCTAAGCGGTTTACAACTGTAAGCTCATTCCCCCCCAACAGCTGGGTACTCATTTTAGCGACCTCAGAAGGATGCAGGCCTGAGTCTAGCCTGAGCCCTGGCTAGTATTGAACTCGCAACCTTGTGGTCTATGAGTGAGTGGCTGCAGTACAGGCATTTAACCGCTGCGCCACCAGGGCTCCTACATAATCAAGTAGTAATCAATCAAGGATAATGGAAACAATACACAGAAGAACTATATGAAAAAGAGAGAGGAATGACAGATTCATTCAAAGAAAAACCATATGAAGATAAACCTTCAGTTTTAAAAAGTGAAGTGGAAGCTGCACTCAAAGAACTTGGGAGAAATAAATCATCAGGAACAGATGGTATACCAATAGAGCTGCTTCAAACTATGAAGGCAGAATCTACACTGGTTCTAACTAAAATCTGTCAACAAATAGGAAAACAAAACAATAGCCCATAGATTGGAAACACTCAATATACATTCCAATTTCCAGTAAAGGTTACATGATGGCTTGCAGTATCCACAGAACCATTGTATTAATTTCCCATACAGGCAAAATGATGCTCAAATTTTTACAACAAACTTGTACCATATACAGAACAAGAATGCCAGGTGTTCAAGGAAGAGGCAGTAGGGATCCTAGTGCAAAGATACATTGAACAATGGAAAGCATTTCAGAAGAAGATCAGCCTGTGCTTTATAGATTATAACAAAGCCTATGATTATGTAGATCAGACCTAGCCCACGGAGGCCTTCGGACCAGCCCCTGCCTGGTCCTGCCGCCACAGGGATCCTCCAGGGTGCCATTTTGGATTCCAAAATGGCACCTGGAGTCTCGTGCAACCTTTCCCGTCCTGCCTCTCTGAAAAAATGGCGCCCCACCGTCGTACGCATGCATGCATAATGCAGGGGGGCGCCATTTTGTTTCCCAAAATGGCGGCCCCCCACGCTCACACACATGCGCACGATGGGGGGAGTTGTGTGCAGCCCCCAGTGCTATTCCCCCCCCGGCCCCCAGCAAAAAAGGTTGCTGACCCCTGATGTAGATCATGAAAAAGTATGGATTGCTCTTAAAGATATGGGTATGCTACAACATTTGATTGTCTTGATTGTAAACTGTACTTAGGACATTGTAAGTAAGATTGTAAACTGTACACCATCAGGACATAATTCAAAGAAACTGAATGATTTCCAGTTGGCAAGGGGCCAGGCAAGGCTGCATTTTATTACCCTATCTGTTTAACTTGTATGCTGAGCATAATATACCTAAAGCAGGATTAGACTTGGAGGAAGGAGTGTGAAAATTGGAGGAAGGAATATCAACAATTTAAGATATGCAGATGACACCATACTGGAGAAACCATGCTAGCAGAAAATACCAAAGCCTTGCAACAGTTACTGAAGAAAGTCAAGGAAGAAAGTGCAAAGGCAGGCTTCCAGTGAAACCTTAACAAAACAAAAATAACGACCACAAATGATTTATGTCACTTTAATGTAGAGGATGAAGACATTGAAATAGTACAAGATTTTCCAAACCTTGGCTCAGTCATTAATCAGAATGGAGACTGCAGTCAAGAAATCAGAAGAGTAGGACTTGGAAGGACAACTAGGAAGCAACCAGACAAGATCATGAAGTGCAAAGATATATAATTGATTACTAAAGTTAGTATTGTCCACGCCATTATATTTCCTATTTCTGTATATGGTTGTGGAAGGTGG